CCAGTCTAATGTTTGTAGCTGGGGATTTTAACGCTAAACTGGGCAGACCTAGTGCAGCATTCAACTGCATTGGCCAGCATGGACGCGGACGACGAAACTACACTGGTCTTGCTTTGGCAGAATTCTGTGGGTCCCATCAACTATTTGCTGCCAACACAGCTTTTCAGCACAGAGCATGTCATACCACAACATGGTCAATGACTCGGAGATTAGCATCAGGAATCACGGTCAAGGTGTATAATCAAATCGATTTCGTACTGTGCCAAAATTCCCAGAAGAGCCTTCTCCTGAATGCACGGTCATATGCTGGAACGTCTACCTGTAGCGATCACCGCTTGGTGATTGCTACCTTTGACCTACCAAAATTCTACGTCCTAACGTCACCGAGAAAGCATACCCCGCAAGACAGTCGGAAGAAAATGGATGTGCAGCAGTTGACAGCCAGCGCAGAGAGAAGACAGCGCTATCGGGACCAAGTTGAAAAGCATGTTACAACACTACCTCCCCTGGAGAAGGAACATCTTGATGAAGGCTGGACTTCAGTTGCAGGAATGATGCATGCCTCGGGATTGGCAGCTGCGGGAGAACTGAAGCTGACACGGCGTTATAGACACGGTTGGGATACGGTGATGGAAGAACTCTCGGAAAAGATGAAAAATCTGCGACTCCGCACGATGAACGCTCAGGACACCCACCAGATACAGAAACTCCGTGAGGAGAGAAACCAAGTCTCGCACCAACTGCGACGTAGAGCCAAGGAATGTGCATCTGCAGACCTAGACAGAAAAGTATCAGAGATCGAACAGCTGAAGGATGATGCCCGAATGTTCAGAGCTGTACAACAGCTACACAAGAACAGAACCAAGCAGGCTGTTGTGGCTGACCAAGATGGCAGGCTAATAGTCCAACCTGAGGAAATGGCTGAAAAGATAGCAGAGCACTTCCACGCTGCTCTCTCAAATAGCGACCAAGAGAGACTGAGCATGGCTGACTATAACATGGGCGAAATGGAAAAGCCAATCGCGACGATCGAAGTGAGGAGAGCAGCAGCACGGCTAAAGAACAACAAGTCACCTGGGCCAGACAAACTCCCAGCAGAACTATTCAAATATGCGCCTGACAGCCTTTTCACATATCTTGCCGAACTGTACACCATGTGCGTTGAGACAGGACAACACCTGACACTTGGCAGTGGCGAGTTAATCCCGCTGCAGAAGCCAGGAAAACCAAGAGGCCCGGGAAGTAGTCTGAGACCCATTGTTCTGCTCAATGCCCTGCGCAAGGTACTTTCTTTAGTGGTTCTAGCACGAATAACCCCCCGAGTTCAAGCTTATGTATCGCAAATGCAGAGTGGGTTCAGACCGAATAGAAGCACTACAGATGTAGTATGGGCTCATCGATGGATCGCTGCACGCTGCCAGCACCTGCAGTCCAGTATAAGTATTCTGGGTATCGATATGTCTCGCGCCTTTGACACTATTAGTCGCCGGAAACTCGTCAATGTGTTGCGGTCATTCCTGGAGCCAGATGAGGTGCGCCTGGTCCAGCTCCTGGTTTCAGATACAACACTATCAGCACGCATCAAAAATACCCAAAGCCGACCATTTGCAACAACATCTGGCACCCCACAAGGTGACTCGCTGTCACCCGTGTTATTCATCATCTACCTCGAGACTGCACTGCGCCATGTTTTCTCCTGTATTCCACCTCGACCTAATCTAGACATCACCCTCAACCTGCCGCCGTCCCTAGGTTATGCCGATGATGTGGACTTCGTCAGCACCAGTTCTGAGTACCTGGACTCGATCCTTCCTATTGTTGGCGACTGCCTCGCGGACTGGGACCTGAAAGTTAACCAAGCCAAAACAGAACGCACTACTATCCAGAGGAAGAAGGACCGAGTGGAGGAAGAGTGGAGGCGCACACGCAAGCTTGGATCCCTTATTGGAGACAAAGAGGATGTCGCACGCCGAATCCAGATTGCTTCGGGCACATTCAACAAGATGTGGCCATTGTGGTCACGCGGACATCTGGTCTCCGAAAAGCTACGGGTGAGGCTCTACGAAGCCTTCATCAAGCCTCTGCTGATGTACAACGCAGGCACATGGGGCCTCTCAGACTCTCAGCTGTGTACTCTTGACTCGACATATCGGAGACACCTGAGAGTTGTTGTGGGTATCCGCTACCCACAGATAATCAGCAACGATGACCTCCACCGCAGAACAGAGACACAGCCCCTAACTGTCCTGGTTAAAGCTGCTCGGATGCGACTACTCGGTCACATCTGCAGACTGGACAAGGAGACCCCAGCACAAATGGCTATGACATCATACTTCCGGCAAACAAAGGACGAGAAAAAATTCCGTGGCCGGCCGCCTTCCACACTCCCAACAATACTGAGAACGGACCTCGCAACAAAGGGAATGAAGCTGCAGACGGATAAAGATCTCTCACACATCAGGGACCTGGCAGAGGACAGAGCAGTATGGCGGCAGCTTTTCCGCACCTGAGCCTGCAGAGGAATGCCCGGATTTGCCCAAACGGAACATGACATGATGTATGGTGAATTCAATGGACAATCTGATATATTTCTTCAATATCCTTTGCCTCCTGTTTCTTTTTTCCTGCCTTCGACCCCGCTGCTCTGTGACCCTTCCCTCGCTTTCTCTTGTCCTTACTGTCTTTTGACTTGTTGAGCGGCCTGAGCGAATGCTAGGGGTGGATGTGTATTATGTCGATTTGTTGATTTTTGTAGTAACACATCCTGATGCAAACGCGGAGAGGCAAATAATAATAATAATAATCCGCTGCAAATGTGGTATCTGTGTCTGTGGCTGGAGGCCCCATATATGTAGCTGGAACTTCCAGATATGATACCACACAGAGCTGCTGAAATTGGGTGTTGGCAAATGAGTGTCCCTGTAACCGACCTGGGGCCATACCACCCTTCAGGAGCTGACTCTGGATCTCAAGACTGTGTATTCTATTGGTAAAAGTTTCCATTCTGAACTCAATGCCACAGGGTTGTTATGTCTAGTGTTATGTGTAATGACGTCACGACGATTGAAGGGAAAACTCTGTACAAGTACAAAGTACAGTCTGTAGTCTTAAGTACAACTTCTAACGTTATGCTGTATTTGTTTACTAGGACAAACCTTTTTACGTTATGCTGTATTTGTTTACTAGGACAAGCCTTTTTACGTTATGCTGTAATTGTTTACTAGGACAAACCTTTTTACGCTATGCTGTATTTGTTTACTAGGACAAACCTTTTTACGTTATGCTGTATTTGTTTACTAGGACAAACCTTTTTACGTTATGCTGTATTTGTTTACTAGGACAAACCTTTTTACGTTATGCTGTATTTGTTTACTAGGACAAACCTTTTTACGTTATGCTGTATTTGTTTACTAGGACAAACCTTTTTACGCTATGCTGTATTTGTTTACTAGAACAAACCTTTTTACGTTATGCTGTATTTGTTTACTAGGATAAACCTTTTTACGTTATGCTGTATTTGTTTACTAGGACAAACCTTTTTACGTTATGCTGTATTTGTTTACTAGGACAAGCCTTTTTACGTTATGCTGTAATTGTTTACTAGGACAAACCTTTTTACGCTATGCTGTATTTGTTTACTAGGACAAACCTTTTTACGTTATGCTGTATTTGTTTACTAGGACAAACCTTTTTACGTTATGCTGTATTTGTTTACTAGGACAAACCTTTTTACGTTATGCTGTATTTGTTTACTAGGACAAACCTTTTTACGTTATGCTGTATTTGTTTACTAGGACAAACCTTTTTACGCTATGCTGTATTTGTTTACTAGAACAAACCTTTTTACGTTATGCTGTATTTGTTTACTAGGATAAACCTTTTTACGTTATGCTGTATTTGTTTACTAGGACAAACCTTTTTACGTTCTTTTAAGAACGTAAAAAGCCTTTAAAAAGGACAAGCAGCAGCTTTCGGCTTGTTTATCAATAAACTAATTACACATCCCCCAAACGCGCTCTCCACCAAAAGCCTTGGATTCGTGTTGCTGGTGTGTGAGGTTGGCCAGAGAGGGTGTTTGGTGCAGGTGGAATTACTTTAGCCCTCTTTACTAGCAAAATGAACATATACTACAGGTTGCTTTTCACGCACATTCACATGCCAGAGGAAAAGACAGCAACAACAACAGCAACAGCCCTCCAAGTCCAAGGTTCCAACACACCATTGCATGCTTACACATACAGTAGACCTGCTCATGCACGAACACCCGAATGTACAGTCTGTTGCTGAGTACTACACCAAACCACACACAAGACGCACCACACCCAAGACCACACTCAAGCAACTCACTACGAGTACAGTGTCTGCATTGTCATTGTCAAGTTGCCCAAAGCCGCCATGTCATTATGGTGACATGTTTTTAGCAACAACCAGTTATAAAATAGAATTTTACGACAATCAGATTGACAACACCAACACCAGCTTGGTCTGTATGGGACTGTGTCCTAAGACACGATGTCATCACTACATCAGCTCTTTGTCCATATTTGATGAGAAGAGCGTAGCATTGAATCGTGATTGGTTCCAGGTAGTGTTGTTATGTGGTAATGGGGTAGGTCCCCCATTATGTGTGTAGTCTACATGTGTGAATGTGATTCTTGTCACCAATGACTATGTAAACAACACATTTTATGGTCTCGTTCTGTGCAGAGCGCGATGACATCGTGCAGACGTGTAGCATATCACGTGACAACACAATGACACACGCACACACGCAATGCCAATGCTGCGAACAAAAGATGCCTGAGTTCGCGCTAAGGCACACAGCCACAAAGCTAAAGCAGTATCAGTAATGTATGACTAGATGGCCGTCCGTGGTCTGCCAGACAGTGAGCATGACCTGCCATTTACCACATGCATGTGATGCACGATTCGTTCAAACATTAGATCACATCGCTATTATTAATGGTCAGCACAGCTCAGTCATCCATTTCTCAAGGCACAGTCCAGTTGTCCGTTTTCGTCTCCCTGCCTTTCTCTTTTGTTTCAAACGTCTTCTAGTGTTGTTGAACAGTCCCTCTGACCTACCTTTGTTAGACGTGCATTATCTTTTCCAGTCATTGTTACTCTTTCTCTCAACTACTAATCAGTCTGTAGTGGCTACAACGCTCTCTCAGAGAGTAACAAGTTCAGCACAACGCTCTCTCAATGAAAAACAAGTTCAGCACAACGCTCTCTCAGTGAATAACAAGTTCAGCATAACGCTCTCTCAGTGAACAACAAGTTCAGCATAACGCTCTCCTTCTCTCAACGGCCTACTTATTCCAGTCAGCCCACTCAGCCAACGTTTGAAGAAGATCTTTAAAGGAACGGACAACTCACTCAGTAAGTAAAAATAAAATCATGTGCTATAGGTCTATTTGAAATCCCCCTACAGCATTAGTATCACTGATATAGCACATTGTGACTATGCCTACACCAGAGCTAGGTCATCAGGCTGAGTGACACGGTTGAGAGCTAGCCAGGTACTGCACTAACTGACCTGGTTGACATTATGGGTGTATTTGCTCACGTTAGCGACTGGATCATTCGATTCACTCCCTGACCGGTCGACCCTGTTCTCGCACTGAGTGCTACATCTTATCGGTCTAGTTAGCAACTGTGGATCGTTCAGTAGCGGTTCATGACCTGTAGATCAAAGTCCAAAGTTCAAACAGTGAGTTCCTCCTTCGCTGCACCATTCCGTCGATCAGCTGAATACCTTCTTGCAGGTGTAGGCCCTCCGGACTTCCACGTCAAGTTTCTTCTTTTCTCTTCACTGCTACTTGAAAACAACGTTCAACAAAACGGCAAGGATGACTTTCTTCAATTCAGCTCTTTCCTTTAGACTCACTAACTGTAGCCGTGTTCATCTATGAGAAGTTCAACGGTGACTTTACCCGTATTGCAAGTTAGAAACTGAATAGACCATTTTCAGAACTCTCAATAGACCAGAGAAGTTCATCATGTTTCCTACACTTAGCGAGAAAGAAGAGAAAAGTAGATCGTTTTCACTGTCATCAACGTTTCTCCAACAAGGAATGTAAGTTACACATGGTGGCACTCCATCTCTTTCTCTTCGTTTACTTCCCATATTTTCGTTAGTACTGTCGTCTCGTTGGTCTCCACCTTTGTCCTTGTCTCGTGTCGCAACGTGACGGCCATTCAGGGACCTACTGATTGACCTCTTGTAGACGAAGTACATTTCAGTTCTTTGTAACGAAGGGAGACTTGACGAGCAAGAGGATTTATAGATAGTTCTAGTTGCGATCGACATGAAGATTGTTCAAGTATCACGTGTTTGCTGTTGTAACTGTTCGTGCTTGTCAAGTTAAAGTTGAAGTTGTTCCATTCATTTTGCGTGGAGACCTTTCTTCGAACTGGCGTTTTCTTCTCGGTTGTCAACGGTACGAGAATTGCTGTTGTTTGAGGTGGAGAGCAGTATT